ATTATTATTATTATTATTATTGGTAGTAGTAGTAATATTTCATTTTTGATCTTTTGGTTTGATTACATCATAACCTTATGCTTTATATAGTCCGTTTGTATAAAATATTGTATGTACTTATCAAAATTTTTTAAAATACTCACTGGGTTATATATTTTTAAAAATTCATTTAATTATTAACAAAATAGTAGTTTAACAACCACAACAACACATTAATGGCAGGAATAGAAATGACAAAAAAGATAAATAAAAACACAAAATGAATCTAATTAAAACAATGACAATGAAGTACTGCATGTATAATAGGAGTGACAAACAAAAGAAAAAAACAAATTTTATGTAGTTCCATGTAATCAATGTAAAAACAAACATGTTTTTTCATGGTGGTTGTGGAATGTTTGTCAGTCTGGTGCTTTCAGTAACTCCTTCATCCATGTAGTTTAACATTTGTTGTTATTTAGAGATTTTCGGCTGTTAAAGTCGATATAATAATATGTTAATAAAACATGACTGACCTGCAGCAACTGAGGATGCAGAGAGATAAGAGACTGTAGAAAAGAAAATTTAACTCGTTATTCCGAAATAATAAATTGTTCCTGTTTCGATACAATTTAAAAAACAGGAACTCAACTCTGATTATCAGTCCTCTGACAATCTCTGTTAGTATACCAAAAAGAGAAGATAATTAAATGATATGAAATGCATCTCACCGATGGCCAAATAGAAGAAGTTTCTCTGTTGTGTCCACATGACTGATACACAAAATGTGTTCTGTCTAAATGAGTCATGAGTGGCAGAAAATAATAATAAAAAAAAAGTTTTAAAATACATGAATTTTACAGTCAGCCAGACAGAATAAAAATTAATTAGTATTCTTACCAGTTCTATATTCAACAACAGTTAGAAAGCTGAAGTGACGGGTACTTCTTGACAGTTGCAGTTCTCTACAGACGTCTGCAGGTATTTGTTCCACCTGCAGTCTCAAACTGATGTGATGTTGCATGCCGTTAAACCACAGTTTTACAGATTAAGACACAGATCCTCTGATTGATATTTGAACCTATCTGCTGCAAAATAACCTCAGAAACTGCAATGTTTGTGAGTACATCAAACATTTTCTCACACTAGAAACACTTCAATCTGAGCCATGCAAATGTGCAGATCACTTAAACCTTCTTTCTAAATCAAGTCCCTCAGGACCATCTGCTCTTTTTTATCCTCTCCCGATGAAGAAGAACTGGGAACCATTTTTTCCCTAACAATATTTTCACATATTAAACATCTGATCATTACCTACAAAAAAAGGTATTTTAATGATTGTGAAGCCTGCACAGTAAAGATGATGTCAACAGAACGTTTAACAGGTCTGGCATCTAAATCATTAAGTATCTGGACTTAACCAAAAAATTGTACTGGACTCTCTCTCTTTCTATGTTGTCTCGTTTTTAAGCTGTGGCCTTCACATGTTTCCAGCACACTGCTTTGTGAAACACCTGCAATCAAACTCCACTTACCACCAGTTTAAAAGTTTAGATTCTTCTGTCTGTTTAGTGTTAGCGACACTCAGGCTCTTAGTTACTTCAGTGTTTCAAGTTCACGCTGATGTCAGTGCCTCCATCTAAGACTTAACTTCTGTCTTCTACTCTGTCACAGATTTCTCCTCAGTGTATTAGTCAGTGTCTCAGCGCTATCCAGAGGTGTGTTGCCTGATCATCCTCAGTGTATTATTACCTCTGTAAAATCTACATGGATTGACCCTTTGTTTGTCAAGACTAGTGCAAAGAAATCCAAAGGCTCACAGCAGAATTTACATCTACAGAATTAAAGAGACAAACTGTGGGTCTAAAGCGCATGAAGAGGAAGTTCACGTTTCATACCAACCTCAGAGGTTTTAACCACTGACAGTTTGTTCCAGCCTCAGTGATACTTGTTGTTGACAGCTTAAAAAAGGCCAGTCTTATCAAATGTCCGATCAAATGTTGTGACTGATGGAAATATGAAAGCACAGCTCTGCTAGTTATTTCTTTGGACATATAACTTTTTTTCCTTTTACTTAACTACTATCTTAGTAAGGAACAAACGCTTGGAAACTTTTCTGTTCACTATTTAATTTCACATAATTTTATTTCATCCACCATAGGTTGGTACTAAGTGGTGTTTAAATGAAGATCACACCCAAATGTTTATCAGAAACAGCGAGGAGCGAGCCGGCTCCTTATCGTGAGCTGTGGGGTTTTTTTTTTTTCCTTCTCTCACCCTCTCTCTCGCACTTTTTTTCTGCTTCACTCCACATGTGAGCCTTGTGCTTTGCGTGGGGAAGAGGGAGGAGGGGCGGTAGTTACACTGGCAGTAGCACAGGAATGGGAGGG